GTTTTCTGTTCATTTATAGTATTCCAATGTACAGTGAAAGCAGTGACATATAATTTTGATTACTTATTTGTGCCCCCCCCCCGTCAATTCTTTCTAGACATTGACTTGACGCCTCACATCAGTGACATTGCGGAGGAGATGACCTTGGCACAAGTCAAGAAGTTTGTTCGGAAACAGGGGCTGTCAAACCCCACCGTAGACAGGATCATTTCGGAGAATATGCACGATGCTACTGAGCAGAAAATAAAGCTTCTTGACAGCTGGTACCAAGAGAAGGGGATAAAAGGTGCTTATAGAACTTTAATAAGCAGCCTGAGAGACCTTAAGGAGCGTGTCCTTGCTGATCTGATTGAGCAAAAGATGGCCTGCCATATACAGAACAACGCAAGTGCTCATCAGAACATGAATGCTGACGTGTAGAAGAAATTTCCAGCTGTTGAAATCCAGTTTTTAAAGCAGCAGAGTTTACATTTGTTATGGTGTGTGTGTGTGTGTGTGTGTGTGTGTGTGTGTGTGTGATTTTATGCTACCAGGAACCTGAGTTACTCATTCTAGAAGTGCTTCATGGACACACCTGCCTGCAATTCGGGCATATGCCAAAAAGGCCAGCTGCTCAACACCACAAAGAGGGCAACTTTTTGATCTGAAACATCTCTGTTTCACCTCAACAAGGATTTGTTTACATTCCCCTCACTTCTGTCCAGCTGTGAGCATTATTTTCAAGCTAAGTGTCAAAGGAAAAGTATAAGATTCTTTCACCACCACATATGGGGTAACCACTCAGTTTTTTAGCCTCTGGCTCACACATTTTTGTCTTAGCTCAGGAAGGATGGCTCCAGTCCACAGCAAACTAATTTATGCAGTAGCCAAATCACCTGCCTGCTCACAACTTTAATGCTGGTTGCTCACAAAGTAGAATTTTTGCTCACAAGACTCCACAGCTTAGAGGGAGCATTGGCCAACCCTTTTCAACATATAGCAATTTAGCAGCTGGCCACCTGGCCTTTTGATGAGTGTTTGTTTTTTTTGTTAAAAAAATTAAATAGCTTTTTTACTTGTTTAATATTGGTTTTTTAAAAAAATGACATACGGTACCTCTTTTATTCTTCAAACCATGTAAATATTTAGAAGATTTTGAATGTTTTGAGGTTTGAAATGTTTATATTTGGAAAAACTGCTGGAAACCTGATTTATGATGTAAATCTAATACATAAATTAAAACTAGAGACTGTTGGAAGAGAAGACCTAGATGCTGTCTCAAGCCTCAGCCTAAAGAGGAGGGTTGCAAACAAGTCAGACAGACAGGCAGGCTGTGTGTTTCCTTCCTGTTTACTCTCCTGCCTCTTTCCTTTAATGTGTGGGCTGCTACCTCTTAGGGAAACTGCCTTCCTGCCTTCTGCTCTTTCTCAGACTCACACACACAAACACACACACACAGAAAAGAGCATGTTGCTCTCCTCTTTGGCATGGCAGAGGCAGGTATCTAGCATGTAGTTCCTAAATAAAAAGACTGTTGTCAGTCTTGAAACTAACAAATGGCTCTGTGTACCTCTGCTAGGGCACTGAGAACAAAGAAATTCTACTGCGTGTAGCCAAGGTGCACTCTGCCAAATTGAGAAGAGATGCTGGACTAACCAGTTACTCCCATCACTACTCAGCACAGCTCCAATTTGTGGGCACAAGTTTCTTTTTGACTTTTGAATTGCCAGATAAGCAGTATAACAACAACCCCCTGTTGTGGCACAGTGGCTAGATGAGTCCTAAAACTTGGGTACAGATTAGTGTACAGTTTTGCCATGGATCCTGGTTGCTTTCCTTTTGCCTTAGTCTCTAGTTGTAAAACTGGAATATTAATAACCTACCTCATAAGATGAATATGCAAAAGGACCAGCTTTCATCTTTTTTTTAAATACCCTGGGGGAAAAAAAGTGAACAACAAAACCAAATCCATTGATATGGTACACCCTTACTTGTCGGGGCGGAGAGTCAAAGAACGCAGGCAGAAGAGAGAAAGTTGTTGGTGGTTGCAGGAAAAGTTGCTAAGAGATAATTGATTCCCAGAAGCAGGTTCTAATGAAGTGATTTTTAATGGGGACCATATGACCCCCACGGTTGCCAAGTACTGCCGGGAATAAAAAATGTCCTGTCCCTTCAATAGAAACTTAAATGGAATGTTGATATTTATATCCATGCCATGAAAACGTCATCTGCCCATTTCCACACCTCAAGCCTCTATTAAAGAGACAGGGCAATTTTCTCCAGGCCTCTTGGCAACTGTACCCCACCAAAGGGTGACCTAACTCTTGGGGACACTCGGATCCCTTGAGGGCAAATGGGAAGAGTGTTTAGGATTTGGGGCAGCTCCTCTCCATTTGCAGTGGCTTCTGACAGCCAGCAAGCTGTTTTATATTACTTCACACTGAGGAAGCTAGATTTTTCACCCAGGCACTTCAACCAAAATGAAAGCAAGTGGCAAACAGCAGGCCAGGATCAAATCTGAAATTAAGGAGATGGCTGATGTCCATCGGGCACAAAAGTCTCACATGGGCACATGAAGCTGCCTTATACTGAATCAGACCCTTGGTCCATCAAAGCCAGTACTGTCTACTCAGACTGGCAGCAGCTTTCCAGGGTCTTTCACATCACTTAATACAGGATCCTTTTAACTGGAGATGCCAGGGATTGGTCCTGGGACCTTCTGCATGCCAAGCAAATATTCCATACCACTGAGCCACCAGCTGTGTCTCATTGAATCTATGCTTGAAAACTGTGTCATGCAGATATCATAAATATACCTGCATCAATAAAAACTGCCTTGTCTGGAAGCTGTTTTATGACCTAATTTTTCACTTGTCGCTTGGAGGGAGCAATGGGAATGCTGCATACTTGGCGGGTGATTGGGGATTATAGATTAAGCGCCACTATTCTAAGGTACTGGGGAACTGGACTGAAGGACAGACAAAAGGTCAGTCTGGTTCAGGATCCTATCTCTGTTTGGAACTTGGCATATACACTGGGTGTGTACGTTGTCCCATGCCCTCCAATGAGGCACAACCCCCCCCCCAGTTTTCAGAACTATTGCCATTGTTAGTTTTCAGCATTCTATCATTTCATGCAGTTTCCAGAGCAAGTTTGGTATAGTGGTTAAGAATGGCAGACTCTAATCTGGAGAGCCCCACTCCTCCACATGCAGCCAGCTGGGTGACCTTGGCTCTCAGCACCACCTCCCTCACAGGTTGTCTGTTAGGGGGAGAAGAAATCTCTCAGCACCACCTCCCTCACAGGTTGTCTGTTAGGGGGAGAAGAAGAAGAGATTGGATTTATACCCTGCCCTTCACTCAGAGTCTCAGAGTGGCTTACAAACTCCTTTCCCTTTCCCTCCCCACAACAGGCACCCTGTGAGGTAGGTAGGGCTGAGAGAGCTCTGAGAGAACTGTCCTTGAGAGAACAGCTCTGACAGAACTACGGCTTGCCCAAGGACATCCAGCAGCTGCATGTGGAGTAGGGAATCACACCCGGTTCTCCCAGATTAGAGTCCGTACACTTAACCACTACACCAAACTAGTGATTTTTAAGGCCCTCTGAGACTGCAAGTGAAGGGCAGGGTTTAAATCCAACTCTTCTTCAGTGCAGGAAGTTTGGATATTTTATTCAACAAAAGAGAAGGGCGCAAGGCTCAAAGGATTTAAGAAACTACAGCAAACATTTTCACTGCTCACAAAGAAGGAAGTTGTGTGGATACAAGCATATACTTGTATCTCTTCCCTTTGCATGTCTAAAAGGTGTGCACACAAATTAGGTTTCCCTCTTGTTTTCGGTCTGTTGGTGCTATAGATCAAGTACTAACCTCAGCTTTAAATGAAATTGATTTGAAATGAAGACAGGTGTTGAGTTTTCTTTAGACAGAATGGACTTTCCCTAACAAACACTGAACAACTTTTTTTAAAAAAGTTTCAGGAATGAGTCATTCTTTCCCTGAGAGAAATGTGCCATTCTGATCGGCCTCCTGAGAGCTACTTTATGTGTTATGTGTTTCCTACTCATTTGTGGAGCAGAAAACTTGAAAATCACATGAAAGCCTCTGGCCATGATTGTACATGTCCCTGTTTTATTATACATGCATATATCTCTGCAAGAGAAGCTCTTCATCTGTACCCATTCTCCATAAATGGTCTCCCTTTTTCACTACACTAACAATGCTGCATTTGTTGGGGTGCTGAGAAGCTACTGATGAATACTTTTTCCATATAGAAAAGCCTGCATGGGGCTGCATTAAAGAACACAAGTAGGGAAGTGTCAGCCAGGAGTAGTTCTGTATGCGCACAAAATTTCCCCCCCAAACTAGCGGGGGCCAGAGGTCCATGGGCACACTGAATCACCCATGCAAACACTTGTCAAGAAACGGGTGTCTAAGCAGATTCTTGTTCAAACAGTGGTTCAGGCTGAGGCCTAGAAAAGATGGAAGTTTCTTTCTCTGAAACACAGCTCAAGCTGCTTGGAGCTTCAAAGACTCAGATACGGCAAATGGAAGAAGAAGAAATTGGATTTATACCCCACCCTTCAGTCGGCGTCTCAGAGCGGCTTACAATCTCATTTCCCATCCTCTCCTCACAACAAGCTGCATGTGGAGGAGTGGAGAATCAAACCCGGTTGTTCTAGATTAGAGTCCACACTTCTAACCACTACACCAAACTGGCTGGTCACACCATTAGGCCTGGCAGTTTCAAGGACACAAGAATCTAGGAGGGTACATTTGATCCTGAGCTCATGGTTGGGAGAAGGTGTCTGTTAACTGAACCTAATGCAGCTGTAGGATGTTTGGTTTAATTGGCAAGCCCATCTGATTGGTCAGATCATCTGGTTAGCAACTGATCTGATGGGTCAAGTGACATAATTTGCAATACATCTGATTGGTTGACTAGAATCAGGCCAACTCCGGTTGTTGGGCATAAAGGAAAGATCTTTCACTATGGTTTTGCCTTGTGCTGGGATTATATCTGATTTTGGGGGTGTTTTTTGTTTTGTGTCAGTCATGCTGAACCTTGTCTTGTATTTTGGAACCCTTTTTGGACTCGGTCTTATGAGTAACATCTGGATCTTGAACCAATGCTTGTACATGTGCTTCGTTTAGACTTACACTCTTTTATTTTTATCCTTACTGTTCACTGATCTTTTATTGAGTATTTATGCACAATTTTAAAAGAAAACATATTTTGGGGAGCTGTTGAATTCAGGAGGCTTCAATCTGAATTCAGTACTTTAGCCCTCATTGGCTACAACTACCAGATTAATTGTTTTATGAAGCTTGCCTTGTAACATAAGTGTCCTACCTTGCAAGGGTGATTTTCTTGATCTTAGTCCCAGGAGGGCTGGAGGCTTTGTCCCTTGGTCTCTGGCTGTCTGGCTGGTGAAAAGGGGCTGCTGGTGGCACTACCCTAGAGTGTGAGGGCTCACACTTCAGACTTTTTTGGTTGGAGGCTGCTTGACCTGCCCCTCCAAGGGATCCTGGTTTGGGGTCCCTTGACACTCTGGAACATAGAACATATTTGAATTTTAGAGTTGGTCACATAGCCAGCAGCAGAGGTAGCAATCTTGGACTTGGTTCTGAGTGGGCCTCAAGACCTGAGGAGAGATGTAGAGGTTGTTGCACCAATGGGGAACAGTGACCGCGATGCTATTCAGATCAGCATTCATGTCAATGGTAAGTTACCCATAAAGTCCAAAACTGTAATATTTGATTTCAAATGAGGGAACATTTTTTTAAAAATGAGAAGAATAATTAAAAGAAAGCTGAAAGGAAAACACAAGAGAGTCAAATCCCTAGAGGATGCTTGGAAGC